ACATAATTTTTGAGGAATTAATTAATCAAATAAATTTTACTTATCAATAATACTTTTCTAAATGTTTAATTTTAAAGTTTCACAAAAAAATATTTATTTTTGAAATTTATTTTTTATGCTTTTTTTTCTTATTCTTATTATTGTTATTACTCTACTAGATAATACTAAAATGATATATTCTATTAGATATTATGGTGTAAGCCTAATTAAATTTAACCTAGCTTGTGGATAAAAATAAAAAAAACTATTCTCGTAATGGAGCTCATAAAGCTAATAAGCTTCCTATATGGCGGCTTTGGTCTATTGATTACTTACTTACTTACTTAGTTATTTCGTTTCTTAACAAAGCCTTTATCAATTATATAAATGCTTTCTACTAATCTCGTTACTATCTCATTTCATTCTCACTAAACAATAAGCAATAAAATCTTTTCTTTTATATTTTATTGAAAAAGCTTTATGCTAATTTGTTATTTGTCATACTATTTGCGCTTAATTTGCAGCATTATATTTTCTTTTTTTTTTTTTTTTAAATTAATCTATTTCTATTATTGATGATCTTATGCATTTTCCTAGAGCGCAAAAAAAAATAATGGAAGCAAAAAAAAAAAAAAAAAATTTTTTTTTCAATATATAATTTAAAAAAAAGGGAGAGAGAGAGAGAGAGAGAGAGACTGAAAAGATTTAGATTAGATGAATTTAAAAGTACAATGGAAAAGGTGAAATTTATCAATTAATTTAATTAAATATCATAAATTGTTCCAAGGAAGAAAAAAATTGATTGAAACTGAAATTAACTTCAAAATGATTGCAAAAATTACAAACAATAAGTGATAAAAATGAGAAGAAAGATTGAAAATGAAATTGTTAAAGAAGAAATAAATTTAGTTTAGTTAGAAACAAAATATTTAAAAATTAAAAAAAATAAGAAATGCATTTGAAAGAGAGAGAGAGAAAGAGGTGAACACTTCTAGCAAATAAAAAATAAGTTGATTGACAATAGCAAAAAAAAACTTTTTTTTTTTAAAGTATAAATCATAATGGAAATATGAAGCATACCGTATCTAACAATGATGTTTTAGCTCTTGAAACATTTTTCATCTATTTCAAATTTATGAAATAGAAATTTTTCTTTTTTTTTTTTTTTTTTGATTGAAAAGCTTTTTTTTTTTTTTTTTTTGCAAAAGAAATTTTGGGCAAGTAAAAGTTTTATTTATTTCGACAATTTCTTTTTTTTTTTTTTTTCCTTCTTACGGAAATAGGAAGCAAAGCATAAATGCTTTAAAATAGCTAAAAGGAAACAGTATGAGAAATAAGCTTTAGTAGGTATTAATGTATGCCATTTAACTTTGTAAACAAAATTTAGCTATTTTTTTTTTTTTTTTTTTTTAGAAAAAAAAGAGAAAAATTTTTTATTATGATTTTTTTTAGAATAATAGTAAAAATTTCATATATTAATATTAATTATATCCATAAATATATTTATGTAATAAGCTATTATTAGTGAAAGGCTGTACCTTTCAGATTTTATAAATTTAAAAATTTAAATTACCAATTAAAAATTAATAAAAGAAATTTTTCTCTTTTTTTTAAAAAAAAAAAGAGAAAGTTTCTAAGGGTTTTTTTTTTTTTTTAGTTTGGTTGTGACAGTAATTTAAAACGAATAATTTAAAAAAAGAAAAAAGGAAAGAAATTAAAAGCACGAATGAATTTCAAAGAAAATATCAAGCAATTAAATGAATAGCATTAAAAGTATTTCTAATCGATCAGTTCACTCTTTCATATCTTTTCTCTTTCTCTCTCTCTCTCTCTCTTTTTTTTTTTTTTGAACTTACAATTGGTAAGTATATATGATATGGCTTATCTAAGATATAAATTTTCTTTTTTTGTTACTTATTATTAAAATAATCATTTTTCTATTCCTATTCAAATTGCTATGATATTTGTTGATAATAATTTTAAGCAAAATTTTATTCATTAATGCTCAAACTTTTAATTTAAAATCATTTGATGCTGTTTAATAGGCTTTTCACTTTTATTTTATTTTTGCAAAGTTTTATCAATTGTGTATGTTTTTTTTTCTCTAGCAAACTTGTCAACAGATGTCTTGTTTGTCAACTATCATTCATTCCTCATAAGGTTTCACCTTATGTAAATATAGCAATGTCATGAGAAGGCGACATTTCGAGAGAGAGAGAGAGAGAGAGAGAGGGAGAGGGAAGAGGAAAGAAATAGAAGGTTGAAAAATTGAAAATAGATAGATTAAAAAGATGGCTGACTACTCGATGAACATATATTTTATGAAATTGTTAAATGAATGAATGCTAACGGATATGATGACAGCTTTATTTGTTGCTTAATTTATTTATTGTCATATATATTTATTAAATTAATACAAATTAAATTTCTCTCTCAAATGTTTCAGTAATAATAATAATAATAATATATATTTATTTTATTTATGTTATTCATTCATTGATAGCTTTGTTGATAATATATTCATCATATTTCTAAGAAAATATAACTGTGTTGACAGATAAATAACATAAATATTATTATTACTGAAACGAGAAATTTAATTTGTATTAATTTAATTGAATAAAAAATTATTATTTCATACTGATATGATAGTTAGAATATTGTATTTGAAATGAAATGAGGAAAATAATTAACAAATATTGTTAGCAATTTTTTTTTTTTTTTTAAATTTAAAATCAAAAATAGAAGAGAGAAAAAAAAAAGAAAAAAACAAGGCATATAAAAATCAGTGTAAAATATAAAATAATAAATAATTGACAATAGAAAAAAAAAAAAACTTTTTGCATTTAAAATTTTTACACCATCCTACACCAATCAGCTAATATTTAATAAATTCGATAAAATAAAATTGAAATAGTGATTTTAATTCAGACAGTAAGTAATACTTACTTCCTTTATTTTTTTGCATCCAATGAAATTACAATTTCAAATAGGGTGGATCTCAGGAGAAAATGTTCGCTAAGAAAAGTTTGAAATATCATTTTAAAAATATTAAAAAATCCACCTCTTTCATTTTTCACTTTTTTTTTTTTTCTTCATAGGGATCAAATTAAGAAATGATCAGAGAAAGGGAGAAATGAAAAGAAAAGAAAGAAAATTTGCAATCTTTTTATTAATGATTAAGTACACTTTATTATTATCATTTACAATTTTTGTTACTTCAAAAAAAGAAAAGAAAAGAAAATACTTTAAAAAAGGAAATGTAAAATTTATGCAAAACTTTTCTAAATGTATAGCTAGTGATTAATAATTTGTAAAAATGAAAAAATTTTTTGTTTGATAAATAAATAGTTTATTATAAAGAGAAAAAAATGTTATGTCATACTTTACTTTACTTTACTTTACTTTTTTTTTTTTTGATGAAAAAAAAAAGAAAACGAATATTTTATATTAGAAATATACGATAGGAATGGAGGGTGACAAGGTTGGGTGACATTTTTTATTTAGGCTCTTAATTATATGCAGTTGCTTGCATCTCTTTCCTTCATCATAATATTAAATTTCTATGTTCATTCTTTTCAATGATATATTTTCTGTCGTGATAAGCTTAATTACCTTGATATTTCTATATTTGAATTTATTTATATTTGCTATTTTAATCGAATGTCAAATTTTGCACATTACGTATAATTATTTTTTTTTTTTTGCAAATAAGAAAAATTTATCCAATTGCTCTTTTCATTTTTATTTTTTACTGTTTTTTTTTTTTTTTTTGTTCCTTTTTTTTCTTTAAATTTTCTGATAATTCTTATGAATATTTTTGAAAAAAAGAAAACTTTTTTCTTACAATTTATGCCATAAATTTCAAAATTATATCATAATTGAAATTGAAATGAAATGAAGTGAAAAGAAAAAAAGAAACGAATTCATAATAAAATTATTTTCAATGATCAAAATTATTTTGCATTGAAAAAAGCATTGTTGAGCTATGATCAAAAATTGATGAATGTGAAAATGATTGAATAAAAAATGTTAATTAATTTTTAAACATTTTTTCAGCTATCAATAAAAAAAAAAAAAGGAAAGGAAAAGAAAAGCTATTTTGTAGATTTGAGAATTAAAAATTTAAAAATTATCAATTAATATAAATATAACCTTATAAAATCTTTTCTTTTCTAATTTTTGATTGAAATAAAAAAAAAAAAATTGAAAAAATAAAAAAAATAAAAAAAGATGGATTTCATTTTATTTGAGCAATTTATCTAAACATAACTAATTTTAGCATTCTTGTCTTACATGTCAGACAACTAAGCTTAAATTTAGTTGTTAGCAGTAAATTTTATCCTAAGCTTATTACATGCATTTGTCATATGTCTCTCTCAATGCCTTAGGCTGTTTTTTTTTCTTTTTTTTTTTTCAAATTTGTTATAAGAAATGAAAAAAAAAAAATCAAATCAAATAAACAAAATCATTGCAAACAATTACTTTAGCAATTAGTAAATTTCAAATTTAAAATTAAATTACATAAAAAAATTGGATGAGTAATGGATGAGAATCATTTTCACTTCTTCCTCTATATTTCACTTTTTTCTTTATTCTTCCATTTCAAATTTCAATATTATACTGACAAAACAAATAAGTAAAAATTAAAAGTTAAATTACAATTTTCATAAATAAATTATACAACTGAAAATTTCAAAAAAAAAAAATTCATAATGCACAAAAGAAAAAAAAAATAGCCTTTTGAATAATATCATATCATTTACTCTTTCATTTTATAGCATTACATCAAAATTTACATCAAATATTAGTAAAAATTAAAAAAAAAAAAAAAGAAAAGAAAAATGTAAACAAAATATTTTTTATTGTTCACAACAATAGCTATACATAAGTATAAACAAACAAACAAACAAATAAACAAAAAATTTTTGAGACACAAATTATGAGTGTGTTGCAAAAAAAAAAAAAAAGAAAAAAAAAATTCTGAAATATTAAAAATATGAATTTTCTTTTTTCTTTTTTCAACTTTCCACTTCCACTTCCATTGCATTACATCGTCTTCTAATAGCATTATCATTTGAATTAATAATTGCTGATGTTGTAAGCGTAGCATTTTTTAAAATTCGATTTGGTCTCAAAAATTCAACTAATGCGCTTAATTCACGATTAATATCAGCTAATTGATATTCCATAGCAGTCATTCGTAGTGATAAGCCTTCTTGACTATTTTGAACATCATGTACCATTTCATATGTATTTGATGTTGTCTGAAATATCTCTCTCTCTCTCTCTCTCTCTCTCTTTCTCATACAAATATTTAATTTAATTTATAAAATTTAAATTATTTTACAAAATTTAATTTACCAAAAATATTTACAAAATCATTTTATAAAAATATTTAATTTACAAAAAATTATTTTAATTGAATGACTAGAAAAATAAACAATTTTGTTTTTGAGTTTGAATATGATTAGTATGCTTTCATTTTTAAATGATAATTCGAGAGATTCGAGGGATTGCATATTGCAAATTGCAGTATAATTATGTGAATAAGTTAGCAAAACAGAAAAAACAGATTAGCAAACGGAAATTATAAAAGAGATAAACTGATATGAATTATTTCTCTTTTTAGATAAATCAAAAAAAAAATATGTATATAATAAGTTTAAATAAGTCCATAATACACCTAAATAATTATAATGATAATAATAATAGTATTAATAATAATAATGATAATAACAATAATAGTATGAATAATAATAATAATAATAATCATTTACAAACCTTTGCGACATCACCTAGTGAAACCGAATTTTCCGCTAATTTTCTTTGATCTCGTTTTACCTTTCGTAATCTAAAATTGAAATATCAAACTTTCAATGATTATTCCATCAATAATTTCTTGATTTTCTCAAAAAAAAAAAAAGTAAAAAATGCAAATTTAAGAAAAATTTTTTTTTTTTTTTTCATAAATAATAACTAACGCATAGATTGCAACTAAAAATTTGCGCTGATGCATGCGAATTTTTGCTGGTTCAATTTTATCAACCAAACATCGATGTTTATAAATTAGCCAAGTTTCACGTAATACATTTGCTGCTGTATGTTTTAGCTTAAAATTAAATGTATGAATATTAATGAGAAAATAAAAGATATCTTTGATTAATTTATATATTACTTAAAATTTGAAATATCGATAAAAGATATTTTCAATTAATTGATATATTACTTAAAATTTGAAATATCAATTGAATTCATTATCAAATGAAAAATATTTTCTAAAAAAAAAAAAAAAAAACATCAAAAATTTGACAATAAAAAAGTGTAAATTGATTACTTGTTTAGTAAGCTGAGTGTCCATCATAAAATTATGTACATGCTTCTCAGCACGAGTTAATTCAAGCTTTCGAGCTATTACTGCTACAACCATTGATGATGTACATGTACCCTACAAATAAATTTCCACATTTTATCTATACATTTATAAAAAATCCTAAAATTTTAAATTTATTCTAATTATAACTTTTTTTTGAAAAAAAAGTATTTCTCATTTTCAAAAAACATTTCAATAAAATTAAAATTTTTCCAAAACTTTTCTTTTCTTCTTCTCTTTTTTTTTTTTTTTTGTTTTCCTTCATTCTTTCAGAAACAAACAAATTATTTGTTTTTATATGAAATGAAAAATGAAATTAAATTAAAAAAAAAAAAACTTACTAAAATACCAGTAATAACAGCCATTGCACGACCGCAATATGTATTTGGCACAATGTCACCTGCAAATTTCAAAAATTAAAAAAAAAAAAAAATTATTTTAGCAACAATTTCATGATCAGAAGAGTATAAAATGTTTATTTCTTTCTATTTTCTAACAATTCATAATCGTAATTATAATCGTAATCATAATCATAAGATAGCTATAATACTACTATTATTATTATTTTAGTTTGAACAGCAAAAGCTCACCATAACCAACAGAAAGAAAAGTTATTGCAATTAGCCATAATGAATTAAGATAATCTTGATGTTTTTGTGAATGAATATTAATCGGATCAACGGTATCATGCCTATAAATTCGTTTAAAATTTAAAATTAAATTTAGAATAATCAATTTTTTTTTTCTTTTCAACAGTTATTCCAAATAAATTTCATTATTTTATGTTTTATTCTATAAACCAAAACAAAATAAAAAAACAAAAGGACAAAAAGTATTTGAAATTATTATGCAAAATATGTATATTGCAATAAAAAATTTTTCATTTTATAAGATATCTTAATTAATTAAAGCAAAAAAAAAAAAAAGATTTAATTAAGAAAACAAAAATGAAAGAGTATTTATGAGAAGTGAAAAATGAATATATTGTTTGAAATAATGAAAATATTTCAAACCTTTCACATAACCTTAAAATCCATCCAGCAATAATCCATAATGATGCAGTAAATATCATAAGTACAGTACCTTTAACTTATAGAATAGAGTAAAATACTAAATAAATTGTAAGTAATAGAAGTAGTAAAAAGATTTCTACAAAATATCCTAAAAAAATATAAAATATTCGCAATATTTGATTATTTTCATGTAAATTGTTTCTTTTATCAAATTTTTAAAATTTTTTTTTAATAATTAAAATAAACATACCAGGACATAATGTCATTAGAGTTTTCAAAATAAATCGAGCATTAAAATTTACTCTATTGAGACCAGCAATACTCCTTGAGGATGCATCAGTAAATAATCTAAAAGATACAAAAAAAAAAAAAACAAAAAAAAGTTAATTTTGTTGTTAAATTTTGATTATTATTATTATTAATTAGTTAAATTTTGATAATTAATTATAAATTATTTAAATTTTATTAGTATATAAATTAATAATAACTTAAATTTTCATTTCTAAACACTGCAAAAAAAAATGGCAACCTAAAATTGAAATTAAGGTTAAATTAATTAAAAGGTTTGATTTAAAAAAAAAAAAAAAAAAAACTGTACCGGCTATGTAATAACATAACACGACACAACCAATATAATCGAAAAAACATTGGAATTGATAAAAGGACATTGAGTGGTAACTCTACCGTTTTCATCTAAAATTTTGGCTTACTTAAAAAAATATGAGAGATCGCGGGAAAAACTCTCAAATAATATCATCGCAAGTTTAATTAATGCTATATTTATACAAAGAAGCACTTTTTTTTTTTTTTTAAATAATGTTTTTTCAAAGGGAATTTTAATTAAAATTTAACATCAAAAAGATATCGAAATTATAAATGCGCAAATTGCTCATTTTTATGAAACTCTTAAATGATTTCAAAAACAAATTTCTGCTACTCAAAAATTGTTAAATGTATAAATTATTTATACTCGTATGTTAAAAATACAATAATTTAATTTAAATTATTTATTTAAAAAAAAAAAAAAATATCAATTATTTATACTCGTATGTTAAAAATATAATAATTTAATTTAAATTATTTATTTAACAAAAAAAAAATATCTACCGTGTCACCATCAGATGCTGTCCAATAGAAATTAATATCAATTGGAAGTGGACAAAGTGCGCATACCATTACTTCAAGTACAATTTGCAAACCACGCTGCCATGTAATAGCTATTCGCCAATCTTCTGCACTGTTTGCATTCATAAATAACTGCAAATTATATGCTTAAATTTTGGAGCGCAAATGTCACAGTAAAATGATCTTAGAAGAGTAATCTTAATTTACAATATTTTCATCTCAAATGAATATTTTTAATTATCGAAAATAGAAAGAGCAAATATGGATATTTTGTAGCGAAAAACGAGAAAAGACTTAAAATAATGCGCTTTTGTCGTAAAATACACACAAATGTCATTCTGTGATAACAAATATTTAATCATAGATATTCTATTACTGATAAATTTTTTGACTTTTTATCAAATTTGAAAAAAAAAAGCTTACCTGTACTTCGTGAACATGAAATTTGATAACAAGTATTACTAGAATAATTGTACTTAGCAATATTAGCGCTTTCAAAATTAAACTTGCGTATGATCCCTGAAATGGAATTAAATTTGAAATTAAAAAAAAAAAAAGACAAAAGCTGAGAAGTACGATTGAATCACATAATCAAATTAAAAAAAAATTTATACAGAAACATTTCCAAAAATTGCAATAATTTTTTTTTTTTTTCTTAACAAACATATTTTTAATTTTTATAACAATTTTGAATTATTAAAATATACTCGTTGATAAATTTTTGCAGCGCTCATTTCATTGTCAATAATCATTAAACCTGAAATTTCACTAAAATTATCACTCAAAATTATTTACTTTAAAATTTAAAAAATTAAAAATTAAAAAAAAAAAAAAAAGACATATAAAGATTAAATAAAATGCACCAATTCCAATTGCTGCAAAAAATAGAGCATAATCACTGGTAACGCGTCGTACGTGAAACAGTAATTGACGTCTAATTAACCGACCACCACTGAAATAATATATTTTAATTAAAATTTAATTAAAAGAAATTAAATTTTTTTATTAATTAGCTTATTTCTTTTCTCAAATTTCATATTTTCATCTAATATTAATTCAATAAATTTATTAAATTTCCAATTAAATTTCAATAAAATTATACACCTTGTTTCTTTTCTCCTCATTAATGGACTTTCCGAATCATCGTTTGCTATTCGTTGACCTTCCAAATCTTCGCTAAGTACAAGTGATAATGATTTCTTTGAATCTTGCTCTCCTAAATACCTTTCTATTTTAATAATAAAATTTAAATTTAAAATCAATTATTATTGATAATTCATTAATTCATTCATTTTATTTAATTTAAAATTACAAATGAAACATACAGTTTTACAAATTGTCAACAATAGTATTGGAAAGTGAATTTTAAAAATTCATTAACAATGGATTAGGAATAGAAAAAACAACAAAAGATAAACAACAATGAGAATAATTAAGAATAATTAAGTTTTTTTTTTTTTTTTTGACAATTATCATTGATCAATGTAAACTTTTGTTGTATTTTATCGAGAAAATTCTATACGATTCGAAAACAGCGATGCTTAAATATTTATATTAAAATAACAAAAATTTTAAAATAACTATAAACTCTTTCACATGAGAAAGTATGAAAATTTGAATTTTTTGCTATTTAAATTTAAGTTTCAAATTCTTTTAGTTTTCTCTCTTCAATTATAGCCAGAAAAGTTTGCAATTAACAAAATTTATTAGAAATAAAATTTTTGACATTTATTATTTCAAATATTGACTCTTAAAATTTAATAAATTATATTAATTTATGATTTAAAAATGAGCTTTTCCAGATGATATCACATTTTTGCCACTAATAGTGATCTGATAAAATGATAAAGTATGAGTGCTAATGATTGGATCACACCAAATAACTATGTCATTTTTAAATTAAAATAGTTTAAAATTTAATTTCAATAATTTTCTGAACTAAAAATTGATCTAGCATATAAATGAAATGGTACATCTTAAATTATTATCATCAATTTTAATTAAATATGCCCAACTAAAAAAGAATAAGAAAAAGAAAAAAAAATGTGATTATTTTTCAAAATTATTTCAAAAATTTTTTTTTATTTTTTTGAAAATGCAATATTTTATCAAAGTAAATATTGTTTGGTACGTACATCAAATTGCTTTGTTGTATTTCACAACAATTCAAATTAAAATTAAAATACTAAAATTCAATGAATATTTTTAATTCATATCAATTCGAGTTGAAATTAATTTTAAACTTACGAAAAAATTTTGATAAATTTAATTATTTTTTTCAAAATTATTTTATCACAGAATTGCTTGTGATAGTTGTTATCTACCGGAAAATATATATTTCTTTTGTTTCAGTAATTTATTTTTAATTTCTAAAATAATTTATCAATCCTAATTTCAATTTTTTTTTTTTTTTTTGATTTCAAGATTTTACTGCTAAATTTAGAGAGTATTTGAGAAGTAAAATTTCTTTTAGATTATGAAATGAAAAGTAATTGTTAGAAAAGAGTTCAATTTATCTGAATTAAAATTAATACTAAATTGTACCTTATGAATTAAACCACACAAAAAAAAAGCTATGTGAAAATTTGGTAGAAAAAAAAAATTGTCACCTCATGATTAATTTTAAGGTCACTGAGACATTTTTTTTTTTTTTTTTTTGTGACAGAAAAAGTTTTCAAGAAAAACTTAAATTAACAGCATAACTGAGTGTAAAATCGGACAGTCAAAGTAAATTCTGTCTCTGTTTTGACAATTAATTGTAAATTAAACAAAAAAATGTATTTATCGATTGATTTTAAATTTTAAGTTTCAAATTTCACTAAATTTTGAAGAGCTTTAACAAAATTTTTATTTATTATTTCCATACATTTTTTCCTCAAACGAATAAAACAAATTTGCTTTTGCTCCTCGACGAATTCTAACATTTTCAATTTGTCAATTATACATTAAATAAAATTGAAAATAATTCAAGACACATTATAATAGTACTATAACTATTAACTAATCTCAAAAAAAAAAAAAAAAAAAATTCAAATGAATTTAGAAAATTCAAATTTTCTTCTGGAATTTCCAAAAATTTCCACAAAAACAACATACCAACAATTTCTTTTCATTGATTAAATTGATAAAATTAAATAGAAAAAAAATAATTAATGAAAAAATTCCATCCTAAATGAGAAGAAAAGATTAAATTGAATATGCATTTTACACCAATAATTTAGAAAACAAAAAACAAAAAACAAAAACAAAAAAATAAAAAGAAAAGGCAATGGAAGAGAAACTGAGAATGTATTAACTAATTAATTAATTAATCAAAAATTTGTTTACAAAATAATTCACTCATAAATATTTCTTTTTTTAAAAGTGTATTAGTATAAAATTTATCAGAAATTTTAGAGAAAACAATAATAATTGAAAATTTCAAATCAAAATTCAATCAATAATTTTAAATGAAAATTTTCATACAATTTTTTATGTTTCTAACACAAACTATCAATTATCGATCGATTAGAAAATAATATCTTTTTTTTTCATTAAAAACAAAATTAATTTTTTTTAAAAAAAAAAGGAAAAACAATGCTAATTGTTGCTTATTTATTAAAAAAATTTATAAAATGCAATTTTTTTTTTAAGAGAAATAAAAATAATAAAAAAACAATTTTTTTTTTTCCTCAATTTTTCTATAATAAAATTTTGTACAAAAAATACGTCAAAAAAAAAAAAAAATGAAATGAAATTTTATTATTAAAATGTGAAAAGTAAAAGTCCTAAAGACTGTTATAAGATAATTTGTCAAAAAAAAAAAAAATGAAATGAAATTTTATTATTAAAATGTGAAAAGTAAAAGTCCTAAAGACTGTTATAAGATAATTTGTCAAAAAAAAAAAAAAAAAAAATGAAATGAAATTTTATTATTAAAATGTGAAAAGTAAAAGTCCTAAAGACTGTTATAAGATAATTTGGCGCAAAAAGAAAGAGAAAATTTCGGGAAAAGATCAATTTTGTGGTCATTTTAGCATAGTTTTTAAATGGATTTTGCAGTTAAAATATTTTAATGGAAATTTTAGAATGTAATTGATACTATCCAAATTTTATTTTAGTTTTTTTTTTCGTTTTCTTTTTTTTTTTTTTTTTTTTTACTCAAATCTTTTTGTTCGCTTTATTTTTTCTTTCATGAAAACATACTTTAAATTCTTATTTTTTCAAGAAAGTTAAGTGTTGAGATTATTGCATCAGAGATAATTTTTTTCACTTAAGATTTTTGTTATTTCTAAGCAAAAGAAAAAAAAAAAATTGAAATTTTCGAATAGAAATATGAAAATGATTAAATTTTAATTGCTAATAATAGTAAGATGAATGTATTGAAATATATTTATAATTTTACATTTTTTTTGTTTTTGTTTTTGCAAGATAAAAATTTTTTACAGAGAATTCTCGATAAGTAATTTTAGTTACATACAATTCCTTACACAGTGATTTTAAAAATTTGACTTAAAAATAGAAATAATAAAAAAAAAAAAAGTTAATTTTTTCACTTATTCAAATTTACGAATGAAATTTTTATTTTCATTATTTTATTCCAACGTTAAGCAATTTTATTGAAGCATATCAAACAAATAAATTATTTCATTTCAATAATCATTTTTTTTTTTTTATCACATATAACTAATAATTATTATTTGTCTTTCAGGAAAATAAGTTAGCATTAAATTTTTGAATGAAAATAATTCATTAAAGTTTCATACTGAAAAAGTTGCATTCTTTTCTTTTTTTTAAAAAAAAATGAAATAAAAACAAATTTCAATTTCTTTTCCTTTATTTTTGTTTCTTTGAAAAACTACAAAAATTATTGTATGACAAAATTTCAAGTTATTTCTCGAAAACTCTAAAAAACTTTTTTTTCATCTTTAATTTATTTCATTTAGCAGAAAAAAAAATGACAATAAAATTTGATCTTCAAAGATAAAAAAAAAAATAAATAATATGGAAGTGAAGAAGATGTAGTACCATTTTTGATATTTATTTTATAAATAAATATCAATCACTTTATTCCCTCCCTTTTTTTTTTCTCTCCCTCCCTATCTCTCTCTCTCTCTCTCTACTTTCATTTTTAAGTTAAATTAATTGATGAAAGCGTATTTTTATAAAATAAATTTTCTTTTATTTCATTTTCCATTTTTTATCATTTCTAATTCAGAGTATAAATTATTGTTTGCACCTTAAAATTACAAATATTTTGAATAATTTTAGCAATATTTGAATGCAAAATAAGCATAAATAAATTTGCATATCAAAAAAAATTCTGAAAAAAAAATAAATAATTTAAATTGAATATTCAAAATAAATTAATTCTATGTATTATTATTATTTTTTTTTTTTTGAAAAATTTAATGAAAAGGAAATTTTGAAATAAATTAGTTAAATTAGCTGTAAAAGAATGAATTATTTGCCTAGCAAATCAAAAAAACAAGTATTTGGGAGTATTTCAAGAATGATTTGATTAAATTTAAGTCATTCTAATAATTTAACCAATATAATTTATTGCTATTGTTGTTGTTGTTGTTGTTGTTGTCCTTCCTTTTTTGTTTGTTTGTTTGTTTGTTTTTGTTTTATGAAATGAAAATAATGGTAATAATAATTCAACTGAATATTTTAAAATTTTAGATATATATTAAATTATATTAAATTTAATGACAAAGTTACAGCATTTTGTGCATCTTTTCCTTTTTTTTTTTTTTACATTTTTACATTTCGTTTGAATAATATTAAAAATTTAAAATACTATTTTCTCTTCCCTTTTCGAAATATCATCAAATTACATTCATTTATAAGCAAAAAAAAAAAGTAAACTTTAAATAATATTTCTAAAATTTCCAAAAAAAAATATTTATTAATCGATTAGGAAAAAAAAAAAAGTTCTCGAATTGATATTTCTGTTTCTAATTTTCGATGATCTCTTGAAAATAGATCAATCAATCATTGCTGATTTGAAAGGTCAAAATACAGCTCAATTTATAAACATTTATTGAGAAGATAAAAAAAAAATGCAGAAACTATCAGATTATTCTCGATCAATCATACAGAAATTCTTGATTAAAATTTCAAATCGAAATTGAAATGATAAAATGCTGCGAGCAACCAATCAAATATAATTTATAAGACATTTGGTAATAAATTCAAGAAAGCAATCCATTTAAACTTCTTCCAAAATACTAAAACCCAACAATATAGATAGAAGAAAAAAAAAAAACTTTATTAAATTTGTTAAATAATTTAAATTCTGAGAATTTCGAGAATTTAACAATAATAAAAAAAAAAAAGGTAATAATAATATTTTTTTTCAGATATTCTAATTATTACTACTAGCATTCAAAGATTAAAGATCAATTAAATATTAACTTTGCATTATTTAATAAATTGTTTACTTTTTTTAGCTTTAAAAATTGAGAGAAAAAAAAAAAAAAGAGAAAAATTAACTAACTTTCAACATTAACTATTGGCGCATCAAATAAACGTGTTATGCTACTTTCCTTCCGGTTAGCATTTTCCAGCACATAATGTGAGCCAATTTTATGAAGTTTTTTTGGACTAACACTACCGGAAAGATATTGCGATGAAGCACTTCTACCAGCTTTTATTGATGCGGTAGGTGATAATGGATCAGGCGGATTTGTCAGACTTGTTAATAATGCTTTGAATGGCGCAATTGCTCCATTAACACGCATTAAATTCATTGAAATCTGTAATTTTTAACATTTTAAAAAAATGTTTTTTTCGTTTTTGTTTATAGTTTTTAAAAAAAAGTAAAATGTAATTAAATAACAAAAGAGTAAAAGTATTGAAGTTAGTAGAATAATTGAAAATTAAAATTTAAAAAATTTTTTAGTTAATTTTTTCAAAATTAAAATTTAAAAATTTTTTAGTTAATTTTTTTGAAAATAATAAATTTTTAAGAAAAAAAAAAAAAAAAAGAGAAGCAAATATAATCATACAATGAATTTAAGGATAACATTAACATTAATATATTGAGCATTTGGTAAAAGAAAGAATTTTTTAAAAAAGTGAAAAATTTCCATTTTATTTTTAAATTTTTTTTTTGTTTTAAATAAATTTGGAATATTTTGAACTAATCATTTCAATTTAGAATTACAAAATGAATAGGACTAATTTAGCATGAATAAATTGCAGTTCAAAAGATCAAAATAGAGATTACCAAAACTAATCTTTGTTATTTTTGAACTAATCTTCAATTTAGTAACAAAAACAAAAGTAAATAATAAATATAGAAAAAAAAATTTTTTTGAAAAATAATTAAAAACTAACTTGTCCAACATCATTTGAATCTAGTGAAGACTGCAATGATCGTCCACCAAAACCTGGTGTACGTATATTATTACCTTTACCGGTAGCAGTTGAACAACCTAAAATTAATTTAAAATTTGCATAGCCTTTTTTTTTTTTTTTTTTTTTTTTGAGATAACAATAGTTTAAAGAAATTAGAAAGAATGAAATAAACAAACAAACAAAGAGGGAAAAAGAAAAGAAACTAATTAAATAACATATATTTCTCATAAAATCGGTTAAATTTTTTTCCATAAATTATTTCAATTTTTTTTTTCTTGTTTTTGAAAAAATTAATATGCCTCAAATTTATTTACAGTCAATTAATCAGGAACAAAAAAAATAATTACCGGGTGAATTTGCTGTCCCACTGCAACCGGAAGAAAATGCATTATTTCGAGCTACGCTACTGGAAAATGCCGAACGTCGTTTCATTGAAAAACGTTTCTACAAAAAAAGGAAATCAATTTTTCATAAAATTTCTTATGAGATTTAAAAAAAAAAAAGAATTTTTTTTTTTTTTCAAATGAATAAATTAATAAATAAAATGATTGATCAAGAAGAATTATTCTAATTTGATGAATAAATTGATGCATCATCAAATTCAATAAATACTTTAATCAAATTTAACTATTTCTTTCTTTAAAATCATTCAACAAAATAAAATATATATTTTTTACTTTTTTTTTTAAATAAATAAAAATATATAATTTTTTCTTTTTTTTTTTAAGATAGAAAAGATAGCTTTTCACACAAAATTTTACGAATATTTTTTTTTTTCATTTTTAAAAAATGAATTAAAATTTGAGCACTAAAAATTTACCAAAGTAAAGTTTTTTCTTTTTTTTTTAATATTTATTGCATCTAATTTTTCTAAAATATTTTGTGAAATATAAGAAAGAAATGAAAACGATGAAAAAAAAATTGTTGGAAAAAACACACAGAATAGTATATTTGCTAAACATTTTGGATGATAATTTCAATAAATTCGCTTGAAATAGTTGTAAAAATTTTAATTTATGATTTAAAAAATCCTCCCACTCATTGATATGATATGATATGATTAAATTTGATATGATATGATTAAATCATATCATATATTAGCAAAAGTATATGCTAAGATTTTACGTAGAGTAGCAATATTGAAGAGTAATTAAGTAAATATTTTAATTTGATATCTTTTTTTTTTCAATTTATTATTAGATAAAAATTTGAATTAATTTGATGAATGATAGAATCTTTTTTTTTTTTTTTTTTTTTGAAGACATAAAATTTGTTAAAAAAATTGCAAAAATTTTGTTAAATTTTAATTTTTTAAAGAAATAAATATTTTTTTTTTTTTAAACAAACAAATAAAATTTCTTGCTAAAAATAATAGAACTAGCAAAAATCTTTTAAATAATTTTAATCTATGATAGATATCAAGATAAAGAATTAGAGGAATTTCAAATGATTGTAATAAATTTAAATTAAAAATTTAAACGAATTAATTTGTCAAAATTTTAGGACTGAAAAAAAAAAAAAAAAGACGAAAAGAAGTTGAAACAATTGAAAAAATCATTTTATGCTAATGCAAATATAAACAGATGTTTATGAAATAACAGAAAAATAGGATTATCTTATTCATCTTTAATGATCGATGTTATTTTATAATTTTTTTTATTATTATTTTTTTTTAAAAAAAGAAAAAAATAAATAATAAAAGAGAAAAATTGAAGAAAATGAGAGAGAGAGAGAGAAGAGAGAGAAAGAGGGATTATCAGAGAGAAATTTTCTCTTTTATGTGATTTATAAATAACTTTGTAATAAGCAAAGATAAATGAGCGAATAGATTTGTTTGCAAACAATGAAAAACAAATTTATATATAAAGATAAAAAAATCATTTAGCAAATTTAACTAAACATATTGCACTGTTTGCAGATTGCAAATTGCAAATTGCAAACAGTGCAAATTTCAGGTGCAAAATAAAATATTTGTTTTAGAAATTTTTTATTATATAAATTGATATGAAATGTGTTTTAATATAACAGAAAGTTTATCATTCTCAAATATTTGTTTAATTTGTGATTGTTACTTTTTAAAATGATCAATCAATATGTTTTGAATAATTTATCGATGAAAGTGATCAAAAAAAAAAAAAAGGTTTCATTTCAATTTGTCATTTTATTTTCTTAAACAGCAAAAAAAAAAATTCAGTATTATAGCAGTGAAATAATTATTTAAAATAAACAAAATTAACATTTACTTCATCTTCTAACTTAGTAAATTATTTTTTTTTTTTTTTTTGATAATAAAGTTGTAATTTTGAAATTTATAAACTTTTTATTAAAATACATTAGTGTTTAAGAGAAAAAGAAAATAAAAATTTCTAGAATGGACCATATGAATTCTATTTAGAAATCAATCAAGAGATAATTGCTTAAAAAGTTGAAATAGTTAAAAGAAATAAAAAGCAATTTGTCATGAAGATAGATTGCTTCTTCTTTTTTTTTTTTTTTTTTGATAGTCTTTTAAGAATTTTCTCTAATCTTTCCAAAAAAAAATAAAAATAGAATTTTTTTCATTATCAATTTATTCACTCAAAATTTTAGCGACATTTTCTTCACACAAATAACATTTATTTAAATGATGTAAGCATTAATGCTAATGTAAAAAAGTTTTCATAGATTATTGGATGGATGAAATTTGATTGAAATTTTATTTGGTAAACTATCCATTGAATATAGTAAAGAAATAATCGAGAAAAAAATTAGTGAAATTAGAAAATTTTTTAAATCAATTGATTACATTAATTGATTAAAACTAAGATATAATTAATTTTTTTCTACAAAAAAAAAAAAAAAAAAAAAAAAAAAAAAAAAAAAAACAAAAACAACCAGGTAAAAATGAGCATAAAAAAGAAATAATAAAAATGGAGCAATAAACAAATTTATTTAATTTTTAATTAAATAATCAAATAATTAAAATTGGGAAAAAAATATTAACAGATGAATATGTGTTTAGTGAATAATTATAGATTTTTCTCATAAATGTTAAATTATTTTTAATAATCAAATAGATAATTCAATTTTTTTTTTCTTTCTCTCTTACTCATCTTTTACTCAAAATAATTATATAATTAATTTCAATCAGAAATCATTAATAAATTTACCGGATCATTAAGATCAACGCATGAATTACTAAATTCTTCCACACTATTCTGATTTCGCTCATCAAAACTTTGATGAAATGCACCTTTTGTTGAAACCCAATGTTGTCGATCATCTTCTGCTGTAATACAAAATTTTAATAATAATTTTATATAAAAAAAGAAATTTAGTTTTTTTTTAAAAAAAAAAAAAAAAAAAAAAGCAAAGTTAAACAAATAGAAATTTAAATTTTGCATTAAAATAATTTATACACTTACAGCATCCGTTATTCTTGAACACTGAAAGATTATCCGGATCACAAATGTTTAAGTGTGGCTTTGATAATGGTTCGAGCATTTTTTTTTTTTTTTTTCGAAATAAGATGGAATAATGTTTATCTAAAATTTAAAATTTAATTTTGTTCAAAAAAAAAATTTATATTTTAATATAAATTATAGATATAAATATTTGTTAAATATTTAATTGCTATTTTAATATTAGATGCTTTTAGGATATATGAAAAAAATAAAAACGAATTCTCATCAATGATGCAAAAGTGTTATCGATTGTTGGTATTAATTTAATTCAATAGCATATTTTGGAAGATGGCTTAATAATACTTCAAAGGATAATTGCGCAAAAATGAATGAAAAATTTGGAATGGAATGAAAAATTTTATGCATTAAATAAAAGATGAAGCGATGACTTGGAAAAAAAAAAAAGTATATTTATTACTTATTCTAACTTTAAATAAACACAATTTAAAATTTAATCTAAAGTTAGCCGAAATTCAAAATTTAAAATGTAAATATATTTTGAGTAAAGTAATAATTCAAAATTGTCTAATGAAAAAGAGAATTTCAAGAAAAAAAAAAAGACGAACTATTATTTGCAGTAGTTTAAAAGTATTTTAAATTATTAAAAATAATTTGAAATGATTTAATGTTGCATAACAAATTAAAAATAATGAATGAAAAATTGAAAGAGAAAGAAGCATTTTAATGGAATCATTTGTGACATTTATAAAATAATCAAGAAATAAATAAATAAAAAAAAAAAAAAAAAAGATTCTTTATTTAATTCTCATCTATGAGTTACACTCTCTACCGTAGTATCTTCCGATTTCAATATTTTTTCAACTAAGTTTATGTGATATTCTCATAGGTTCAAAACATTATGCATTTAGCAATGTGCTAATTCTCTTAGCAAAATAAAAAAAAAAAAAAAACAAAACGAAAAAAGTAAACAAAAAAAAGAAATTTAAAAATTAAAAAAAAAAATCAAAATATTTTAAAAGTTTTTAAATAAAGGAAGAATGGGAAAAGAAACAGAAAACCTTTCATTTAAATCAATATAAAAAACAAAAAAATAAAAACAAAATGTAAACAAAAATTGAAATTTGAAAAAAAAAAAAATAAAAATAAAATCTGAACATTTATTTCTTCGTTCAACAAATAACTTTTCATCAATTCTGATTCCACATAGATCATTCAGACATCATTGAATCATTCAGATACTCAATTACTAAATCATTTTCAATATTCAGATACATCATTCAGATACTGAATCACTAGATCATTTTCAATATTCACATACTGAGTCACTGAATCATTCAAATGTTTGATTCAGCGTTTGTTCGGATCAAACTCGAAAAGAATAAAAGAAAAAATGATTGAATTCAAAAGTTTCAAATTAAAATTTATATTTAAATTATAATTGAGCATTAAAAATATGCTATGTAGTGAAATTTGCATTCGTTTTGTTGTTGAAAATTTTTAAAAAATTTAACCAAAAAAAAATAAATTTGAAAAAAGAAACAAAATTTTTTTTTTTTTTTTGAATTCATAACAAAATATGATGATAAAAATAACTGACGGAAATAAACATTTGTCTATAAATGAAAAATTTAGAAATTTATCAAAAAAAAAAAATTTTTTTTAATCGATCAGATTAATCATATAAGACAAAAATAGTTGCAATGATATGAGTTTAAAATAAAATTCTATAAAATTTTCTATTCCAACATATTGTAAGCAAACAAAAGTGCCAGAGAAAATCAGATTTTAAAAAAAAAAAAAAAAAAAAACAAACAAACAAACAAACAAAAATTGTGGAAGCAAAGAGAAAGAATTTATTTTTATTAAAAGAAAAAAAAGAAATTTAATGTTTAAAATGTTATTAAAGAAACGAAAAGAAATTGATAAAATGATTTTTTCATTCTTTTTTTTTTTTTTTTTTTTTTTTTTATGTTTTCAAAATGATTTGCTTTGGAAATTGAAACAGATTAAACTGCTATTTAAAAAATTTTCACAATCAAATAATTTATTTAATGTTTAAATATTAACTAATCTATGCCATATGCTTTTAAAAAGAAGAAATAATGAATGGATAGTATAAATTAGAGAGAAAAAGGAAAGAATTATTCATATTCAATGAAGATTTCAATTTAATTTCAAGAATGTATAAAATGATAGCATATGAAAAGTAAAAAATTGCTCATTTATAAAATGAAACTTTAAAATTTTAATTTATGAAATGTAACATTAAATTTTAAAATGTTAAGAAGCAACAAATAATTGTATATATTTTTTGTGAAATATTCGCATGACAATAAGCAATTTTTATAAAAATAAAGATAAGAAAATTTTCTTTTTTTTTTTTTTTGTCTAGAATATTTAAAAAAAAAAAGTTTAAATTTATAATGAAATTTATGAAAGGCAATGCTAGCATTACTTTTGATACTTTAATAGAGTAATGTTAATTAATAATAATTGCAATAGAATTGAAAAATATTGAACAAAGATGAAATTTCATTAACATTGAAGTTAAACTGTAATGGTTTAAATTTAATTTAGAAAATTAAAAAAGCTTTTTAAAAAAAAAAAAAAAAAAAACGAAATTTCATTGGACTAATTTTTTTTTTAACTCCACTTATTCCTAATTCTCTTTTTTTTTCGTGTTTTCAAAAATTTTGATACTAAAAAAAATAATTAATTTATGTCAATTAAGGAGAAAGGAAATTTGATTTGTATATTGTTAATATCTTGTAAAATATCTTTTATTAAAATTAAAATTTCATAGATTATTCAATTAATTAATTAATTATATGTTTGTTCTATTAAATTACTTTTGAAATAATTCAACAAATCAAAATAACGATTTCTGCAAAAAAAGAAAAAATTTCCATTGCATGCAAACTCATTTGCTAAAAATCATTTGAGAGATATATTTTACAATTTCAATGAAATAAAAAGCATTTAAAATTCCTTCAAGCATTCTCCTTTTTTTTTCATCTTTTCGTCGTTTTGACATTTCAAAAATGAAAAATACTTTTTTTTTGAACTTTGTCTAAATCAAGGCTAATGTTTTAAGCTACATTTTAATCACGTACATAATCACGTACGTACGCATCGGTACACATTTTTCATTTATATATTTACATTATTATGATAAAATTCTTTTTAATCCTTTTTTAAAATAATTATTTAATTTATGCAAAAGTAAATTATAATGCTTAGTTGATTTAATAATGATTATACATCAATTAATAATGATTATACATCAATTGTTGTTTGTTTATTTTATAAATCATTCATAATTGTTTATCACTGAAGAAACTAACGAATTTTTATTCTGAAGTAAAATATTACTTTGTGTTAGTGAAATATATAGCAAAAGGTCAATTTGTGTACAAGTTGACCTTTCGAAGAAAGCGCAATATGCGCTATACTATGTTTACTCATTCATCCTTAAAGCAATATTCTTTGAAGGTCACTTTTGAAGAGTTTTACTAAATAAATTTGTTAGAAAAAAAAAAAAAAAATTCAAGAAAATTTTTTCTATGACTTTTATAATAATCTAATTTTAATCTATTTTTGAATAAAATTTTGTGAAATTTTTATTTCAAAAATTATTGATATTTAAAGGTTTTAATAGTTAATTTTCTATAATTTAAATATTTGATTTAGAGAAAATAGAATGTGTATAGATGAAGAAGAATGATTACAAAATATGAAGACAAAGAGTGAAGAATTTTCTCTTTTTTTTTTTTTTTGCAAAGTTGTAATATCAGTTTGCATAGAAAGTGTAATTGTTGTATTTCAGTAAAATAATATTTAGATAAATAATTCAAATTCAATGATTTCAGTAATTATTTTTGTTAAAATTAATCAAAATTATATTCTTAATGAAAAATTTTTCTTTTTGACAAAATTAATTATTATTCATATTTCTTTTTTTTTCTTTTTATTGTTTTATTATTTTATGAAATTCTTTAATCATTTTCAAAAGCTATAAGAAGAAGAATAGATTGAAATATTTATGTTAGATGAAATAATATTTCAATAAAAAATGAGAAATAATAATTGCTTCTTTTTTAATAAAAATTATTTTATAATTATTTCTCTTTCCCTCTCTCTCCCTCTCTCTCTCTCTCTCTCTCTCATATAATTCAAGTAATGATTGATAGATTAAATTATCATATCAATGCATACAATACAGTTATTTGATAACAAATCAAGAGAAAGAACTATGATATATTTTAATTTCAATATATATTTAATTTCAATTATAAAATTTAATATAGAAAAAAGTTTCAATTAATGAAATAATTTCATTTCTATCACATTTGAATTAATCATTGTATTAAATTAAATGAATTTTTTGATCAAAACTTTTTTTTCTTTTTTCTTTGTTTTATTTTTCTTTTTTTTTTTATTAACAAAACAATTTAATAAATTAAAAATATTTTAGAACAAAAAAAAAAAAAAAAGAAAAAAAGAAGCGTAAATATATTTCTTTTGAAATCTTTGTAAAAGACGAATCATCATCGACCATTTTCAATGAAATAAATAATGGATTGTATTTGTGAGATGTCAGTTAATCCATGTAAAAAAAGAAATTCTCTCTCTCTCCCTCTCTCTCTCTCTCTCTCTCTTATAAATTCTCAATTTATCTTTTCTACCAAATTAACTTTTTTTATCAATTTCTCTCTTTCTTTTCCCTCACAATTCAATATATTTCCATATAAGTGCTAGTTCTTCTCTTTTTTTTCTTTTCCCTCTCTCTCCCTCTCTCTCTCTCTTTCGTCCTTCATTTATCCTTCATATTGCATTTAATTAAATAAATTTCAATTGTGGATTGGGTAATTCCATCCTTCCTATTTTCTCGACAAATAGCACTTATTATTTTTTGCAAACTTTTTCACATTTTAACTGTTATTTTAAAAATTTAAAAAATAAAAATTTTAAAACTGATTTCAAAAATTAAAATATCATTAATAACTCTCAAAAAATTTATACAAACTATAAAATTGGTAATTGAATAATTTAGAAAATATAAACAATTGCTATATTTGA